AAGAGGCACCAGCGCTGGTGCTGTGAAAAGGTGGAGGGACCGGACGGGGCTGCCAGGTCTTGCCCAGCAGCTCCCGTCCCCACAGGCCGCAGGCGTGGGCATGTTTGCAAGCGTGGTTGGAGCTGGGGTACCAGGGTCTGGCGTTCCTCGACCCAACAGCATCAACCCAGATGAGACAGTTGAGAGGGGGGACGGGGGATGAAGGACATCGACTCTGGTGGCAGTTCCCCTGTGGACCCTTTCCAAAAGGGATTCAAACTTCCACGTTCTTTCCACTTCAAAAGTCACCTTGCTCTGCACACCTTCAAAAACGCATCCCTGAGACGAAGCAACTACGCAACATCAAGATGTTGATACAAACTGATGCCACTCACTCATTTACGCCTTGAGTGGACCCAGAGCACCACGCCGAGAGGCACAAATGAAGCAGTCAGCCTTTTTGTGTCTTCTGATATTGATGCAAAGTGAGAAAGAGCATCTTTAATTTTCCCACAGGAGGGGAAAACCCACCTGTGTTCCCACCCACTCCTCAGAAGGGAAATATTTGTCCCCTTTGCAAGGTACGCGGTGCCAAGCCCGGCAGGACACAGGATGACCATGTGTCTTCGCGCTGCAGCTCACGGGGGTTCGAATGCTGCTTCAGCGGGCGAGATACCCTCCTGGGCTTAGCCGGAGCTCAGCAAAATGAGCACATGGGGGAATATTCTGAGCTGGAAGACCACGACCAGGAGCTCCAGCCGTCAAGCGAGATGCCAGGGTCGTCACATCGCACTGCCCAGGCTCTGCGCTGAGCTGCCAAGGAGATGCAAGACAGTTCCTGCTCCTTTCCTTTGGGATGTGGCTGGGTTGAGGGCTTTGGGATCTGGCCTGATGTTAATAACTGGCCTCAACAGGCGACCTTGCAAGAGCCATTGTGTTTCTGCCAGCACTGGTTGCTACATAAGCTCGGATATTTAATAGCCAAATGACTGAGCAAACGGAAGTGTGAACGCTTCTGTGCCAGCCATTAAGGCTGCACATACTGCACACAATATGCTAATCCCCCCAGACGTAATTGCACCCCCAGGCTCTGGGTGTTTTGGCGCACAGGACTGAAAGACTTCTGCTGTCTGTGCTGGGTGGCAGAGCTTCCCAGATCCCCCTGGGGCAGCTGATGCTGACCTGAACCATCCCTGCTCAGGAGACTGGGAGGGGATTAAGTGTAGTCCTGCCAGCTGCTGCCTAGCTTTTGGAGGGTCAGTGGTCACATCACAGGAGCATCTTAGGGCAGAGGCAGAAAGATGAGTACGCACCAGCACTAGAGCATGCAGCCTTGAGCTCAGTTGCTGGACCTGGCACTAACTCTGGCGCAGTCTCATCCCTCTGGCACAGGTACATCTTGCCATGCAGACAGCCCAGTGAGCTCAGAGCCTCTCTCAGCAGCATGAATTAGCCCACAAAACTGCTACACAGCATCCCGGAGACCTTCCATGAGAAGGCCATGCAAGCAGACTGATGAAGTGCGGCCAGGCTCTAACCCGACAAAACGCCGAAAAGCAGAAGCAACTGAGTTATTCTGATTTTTATTTCATTGCTTCTTAGTCCACACAGTCGGTATAAAATCAGAAAAGCAAAGCAAAAAAAAACAAAAACAAAAACAAAAAACCCAAAAAAACTCAAAATGAAACAAAAACAACAACAGCAACACAGTGTCTGGAGTCCTCAGAAGGCAGCCTGGGGTCTGCGCAAGTGCCCGTTCAATTCACAGCCAGACACATCGCTGACGCACAGACAGAGGACAGACATCTTGCTCCAGCAGCAGAGACCGGCAGGGCTCCACCCAGAGCTGTTTCTGTTCCTCTTGACCATGGAGGGGAAAAAAGGAACCTCGGTTATAAATGCTTTATTAAAAATAATAGTAAGAGCAAGTCTAAGTACAAAAGCAGTTATAGCTCATTTATATTACACAGAATTATTTCTCATTTCTAGCTTTGCTGTTTACCTCAAGATTGTTAACTGAATTTCCAGTGAATAAGGTTAAATGGCTAGCAATATAAGGAATGGTAAATAGATAGCACCATTTCATATATCTGGTATTTGATTTCATAGATATACTGGGTTTGCTTCTTTCTCATCGGTAGTTTAGCTCCACAGCAAGGATAAAGCATGTTTCACGGTTGGGAGCATCAGTGCCCCAGCGGCTCGGCACAGCACGGCACGGCACAGCACAGCACACACCCCAGCCCTGCCAGCACAGGCACCGGGGGCACCCCCAGAGCCCGGGCAGGTGAAGGAGGACAGCCTGCGCTGGATTGCAATCCGACCTAAGTGATTTAAAAGCCCAAATTCCCAGCGGGTGTGGTGGCAGGGCAATGGGACTTAGGCACATAAGTCATTTAGGCACTTGGGGCAATCAAAGCCTTTGCTCCAAAATCCTTCAAACCTTTCGGAAGCATCTCCCGTCAGATCTGGACGTGCACCTCAGTTACCAGGATCACAGCATGAGGCAGGAGTGGGGATCAACCCTCCAGCTGGCGTAAACAGGCGTAATTCCGCTTTACGCCAGCCTAAAACCAGTCAGAGCTGGGGTTTTCTGATGGTTCGATACGGACTGGGATGGGGAAGGAGAGGTCAGGTCAAAGAGGATTTTGCATGAGAGAAAAATCACCGCGCTCTTGTTACACTGTTAGGAGTAATAGTTCCTTAGGCACTTGCTTTAGGCTTTAAAACATAGCATATGGTCAACAAAAGCAAACAATACTATGTACATATATGTAAAAAGTGTTATAAATAGGTTTTTAAACCATAGATACTATATACATCTTCAATTAACAAGTAACCCTTTGAGTGTTTCTTTTTGGGGTTGGTTGGGTTTGGTTTTGGTGGGAGGGTTTATTCTTTTTCTTTTTTTCTTTTTTTTTTTTTTGCTGTTGTTAATTTTCTTTTCCGTTTTCTCGTCTATTTTCCCCCGCCTCCGTCTCCTCTGTGGACGTCATGAGTGCCCTTGTCACGCCACGCCACGCCGCCTCCCGCGGCATCACTCGCGCTTCCTTAGGATGATGTAGATGATGCCGCTGGCAAGGGCCAGGGGGAAGGCCAGCCACGCCAGGATATAGGCGAAGCCGTAGGAGGTGTTTTCCGAGGCTTGGTGCCAGTCCGTGTGCCTCACTGTGAAGATGGCCGCACCGCTCATCACGCAGAGCCCTGCGGGGGAAGCGGACATAGGAAGGGGTTAGCAATGCCACGCACAGAGAGGTTCCCTGCTGGAAACCCAGAGCCGGAGAGGGTAATACCCAATGCCAGCATGGGAAACTGTTCTTATTATTGCCCCCTTGTATCCTGTTTCCTGGAAAACTAGGGTATGATTTGGGAGGAGCAATGCTGTGGGCTCTGCCCTGGGCACAGGTGAGGGGGGATATCTCTGCCAGGCTGTGAGCAAGCAAAGCTGGAGCCCTTGGAGCAAGCAAGGCCAGAGCATCGCCTGGGCTAACCCATCCCTCAGGCAAGCATCGGGTATCCCCCAGATCCAGGCGCCTGCTCCGGACCAGCTCCACTCCCTTGGGGAGCTTATTTAAAAGCTAGACTGTAGCCTGAACCACCATACCAGAGGTGCTGCAAGAGGTCAGATGCAAACTCTGGCTTTTTTTAAAGAAACTTTTGTGCTTTATCACCTGCCCAGGCAAGCGCAGCTGGGGGCCAAGGACACTCTGACCAGGCAGGGCCTGTGCCCTGTGATCCCCCGTCCTCCTCCAGGGCTGCATGAGGAGCTCGACTGCAAACCCCGCTCTCTGCAAGCCTCACTGCGCCCGCGGCTCGTCCCTCTTTCCTGGCTCCTGGCATCCACCCTCGCCAGCCATGGGCCAGCTCAGCTCCCCGAGGGCTGTCCGGCCGGGCACAGCTCCGGTAGGCAGCATTTTAGCTTTGTTGCAAAAACAACCCATCAGCGTTGGGGACTGCCCAGAGCTAACACAAAGCCACCTCTATTTCTGCCCAAAAACAAGCTCTTTCAGTCAATCCCAGCAGTTCTATTATACAGTTGCAGAGCTGTTGTCAGAGCTGAGTTCCAAATCCCCTGCACGGACCTCGGGACCACCTACATTTAACCACCGTGATATTTGAGCTGTAATTCCACTTGACACTGCTCCTTTGTTTTGGGAAAGTGCAGAAGTGGGAATACGTTTCATTAACGCGCCGCTGGTGCAGTTTCCATTCTCTAAGCACGAGAGCCAACTCCCACTGCCCCAGCCCATGCAAAGAGAGCACAACAATTGTCTGCGGATGCTGGTGGGACAGAGAACAGGCGTGCGACCACGCCGGTCACCTACAGACAGCAGAAAATACAGCGGCAATTGTCCGCATGAGGAATTTGTCAAAACGGAGGCGACGGTTTCTGCAGCATCTGCACTGATTTTGGCCCGGAGAACATGCTCAGGAAGTGAAGGGCAGCTGCATTCAGCTGCTTGCACTGATGCAAGCAATAATGCACCACCAGCTTAGAGCCTGATTTTAAGAATGCTCTCTAGTCTTGCTTTGACAGGCCAGGAGGGCAAATGCTACCTAAAATTTCGCCCTGCAGGTCTCTGGCCCTGCAGACAAGCTGGGATGGGTGCTAGTGCATGCTTGTGGTCAGCTCCTTCAATGCAGGGCTTTGCAAAAAGCTGTGGGACATGTGGAAGGCACAGCCCTCGAGGCTGAGCCTACCCTCTCCACCCCCTGGGCACAGCAGCTCTAGGGTGGGAGGGATTAGAGAAAAGGGATAAAAGTGATACTGAGGTTGGAGAGAGTGATGGAAAAGTTGGGGCAAACCCTGAGAGGTCCAAACCAACGTCCCTCCCATGCTGCACTTACACAGCTATGAGATGTGGATGTGATGCACCCACCAAGGTGGGAGGGGAGCTGTCAAGGGCCTTTTGATGCCTTTGTGATGGCTGAAATCCCATCAGGGCAAATCCAGATAGACTGCAGGGCATGTTTCCAAGCAGTATGGTCCTGGGGATGCATCCTGCCCTGGTGCTGCACAACAGACCCAACTGACCTCATGCATCTCTTCTTGCCCTTACCTCCACTCCCCAGTTCCCCTGAGCCACAGCCAAAGTCGTAGTGGAGACCAGGCCCTGACCTCCTCCCTGGCTTTCAGGACACTGCCACCCAGCTCTGCCACCCAACAGCACCCAGTGGTCCTGCCCCTGGCACCCACTGGCTTAGGTCCAGCATCACTGTTGGTCAGTCTCCAAAACTGGAAACCCTCAGCTTTGCCAAGCTGCCTCACCCCGGGAGGAGGTGCAGGGTGATGGAGGGCTTCAGGAAGAGCCTTCTCATACCCTCCCAGAAGGAGGGAGGTCCTCTGCAGCTCTGCTGGAGCTGAGAACACAGCCCTGGCCAGGGAGAACAGCAAGGATGGCCACCAGTGCCCACCTCTTCATGGTCCATGGGGAGTCAGACCTCTGCCTATGGGTCCCCCAGGCCATGGAGAAGCTTCATGAGGTTCAAGTCACACTTTCCCTGTCCTTCATAGTGGCTGGGGATGGATTTGACCCATGCCTCAGGCCCAACACGGAAAGAGACAATAGGTCTATGGCCTGACGCTGCATCTCCTTAGGACACCCCGCACAGCACGGACAGGAGGGTTGCAATCCCATTTTCTCTTCCTCTGAAAATGAGGACTCACCAACAATCACTCAGGAGAGAGAAGCCTTCTGCTCCCAGATCTATTAGACAAGCTCTCAGGGAGATAATTGCATTATTAATGCCCGTTTCCCCTCCTTGTCTCCATGGCTGTAATGGGTTTCTACACATCTATCTTTCCAGAGACGGTGAACTGATCTGAACTCATCACCTGCATTATGGCCAAGCAGATATACTTATAACAGATTTCATGCCACACTTGCTAATAAAGGATTGCGCTAAACTTTTCCAGGGTTTGTGAAGTCCAGTCGCTTAGAGGATGCTCAGAAACGTTGTCTAAAGTTCTGTAGATGAGTTTTTCCACTGATTTAGTGGCAGGACCTAGGGTGGCTTTTAGTTCAACATCTAAAGCTCTAGCAAATGATTAGTCTCCTTCCCAGACAGTCTGTCATAATTAGCCAGAACCTCACTGCACAACTTAATTTTTCTAGTCTGAGCACTTGAAAATCTTCTCCACTGGTTTCATATGTGGAAACACGAATGGAGCCAGTGGCTTTACAGCATCTATATTTGGAGAACTGCAACGTAGGACATGAACCGTGACTCATTTCCAGAGCTGAGTTCTTTAAGAGTTAAAAATAGTAGCTGACAGTTCAAAGTCAGCTGGCTCACCCTGCACGCTCCAGCGGCTCTTTGCTGATGTGGAAAGCACCAGGCCCCCTTATGGCAAGTTTATAAATAATCATCAGATCCTCTTTTGCCAAAAGAGGATCGTCACTACTTCCCCCATCCGCCAGCAGTTGCGGAAACCTC